ACTACGAGCCAGAAGTGGCTGATCAAAGAATACTAGCGTCGGTGAGTGAAGCTGGCGGGCCAGAAGGTGGTCGATAATACTCACTGGGAGCTAGAAGTGGCTAATCAAAGAATACTAGCATCAATAAGTGAAGTTGACGAATCAGGAGTGGTTGAGAATACTCGGGCAACCAGAGGTGGTTTAAGAATACTAGCGTCTACGAGTGAAGCTGACGAACCAGAAGTGGTTGAGAATACTTGGGACTAAGAGTGGTCATGACCTGAGTGGTCTATAATACTCATTGCTAGCCTGAAGAGGCTGAATAAACAATACTTGTACTTAATTGTTTATCTAGTGCAACCCTTCGTTTGAAGGAGACTAGACGTAGCTCAGTTTGAGTGAACCAATATAAAATGTGCTCTATGTTTTAATGTTTCAAATGCATTTTATTTGGTTGATCTAATTCACTGAAAACTTCATTCAATAATTATCATTTATTAAAGATATCCTTAGACGAAAACTATATTTGCTCAATTGATTATTCTAAAAGAACAGTTTTTGTTTAAGTAGTAATTTTCTCTTTACAGACGATGAAACTCCAGACGCAAAATGATTTTGATAAACCAATCTTGGGCTGTTTCAATTCAAGCATTCATCAATAATACCTTTAGTTGACGAAAGAGAGCCTTATTGCAAAAATGTATTAAAACTCCTTTATTCACATACACACACATATTCAACCCCCCTTCTATGTGTTTCTCATCTAACTTCACATATACCCTATCGTCATCCATCTCTATGTCCTTTTGTACTTATATGTTACTTATTTATTTTTGTTTATTCTCCCTCTTTGCTTGTTTGTGTGTTTATGTGCTTATAAAATCCTCTCCTCTCTTCTTCTCATCTCATCCAAACCTCGTTGAAATCTCTATATGTCTTTCCTCACCTTCCTCATACCTTTCCAAATGCTTTCTTTAACTCGGTTGATCGGACACGCCATCCACTATTGGCTTCTACTTAGTGGCCACCTTCCTTTTTGACCAACCCAGTTAAGTGAATTGTCTGGCAAGACATTCCGATCCTAACCCCTCGTTCCCGGATCCCTTTGACTCACCATCCACTCCACCTTTTTCTCTTGTTCTTCATCGTTGCCTACTTCCCAGTCCATCGTTGCCTCCTTCCCAGTCCATCACTTCCTCCTTCCCATTCCGTCTCCACCTCTCTTCCACTTTGATGATATAAGTGGAGTCCCCAGCTTTGCTAGTGACAAAAGGGGGATGAGATATCCACTAAATCCAAAGAAGAAGAAAATGTTTAAGTTTCTTCTAATTTCCTTAGATTTCCCTTGTGTTAGGGTTTAGGGTTCTTTTTGTGTTTTCCTTGTGTCTTCTTTCTCTTTTTTGAACTTCTTTTGTATTTTTGTATGTTCCTCTGTTATATGTAATACAATATTCTTTGTGTTGTTTTGTTATGTTTAACCATGCATGTTTTCAAGGGGAGTCCTCTATGTTTTAAATCTGTGTTTGAATAATACACTCTAATACCTTAGTCTGTCAAACATTATAACGTCAAACTAAAAAGGCTAAGTAAATATGACAAACCAAATGTCATAAGAAGAAATCGGATCAATCAAATTTTCTCACATGACTTCTAGCATCATAAATATGTGTATTTCACATCAATCTAATAATTTTTTAACTGAACATTTCTTATAGAATCTTTTTCAAAATATGAACACTTGTTTCGTCTTATTACTAAAAAGAAAATCATTTTTCAAAAGAAAAAGCTAGTAAAATTTGTAAAGGTGTATATCTTTAAGAAGTGTTTGTCACCATTAAAAAGGGGAGATTGTCAGATCAAAAATCTTATCTTTAAGAAAACAAATGATCCCTTTAAGTTTTAATGTTGACAAACAAAAGGATTTTCCTTAAAGCAAAAGTTGGCATTCTTTGAAAATATGATAGATCAGACAAAATATGAAGATAATACATATCATCTGTAAGATGAAAGAAATCAAACGAAGTATACTGTTCGTATGAATTACACTAAATGGATAAGACTGACATTGCATTTGCTTTAATGTGTTATTTCTTGACAGATTAACATACATGAAGAAAAGGAGCTAAAAGATCAACATTTTTAAGCAATTCATTCTGAAAAGTTCATCAAAATATCAAGCTGAAGCATTGCAAAGAAGATCACATTTGAAGATTCTATGTATAGATCTTTGTAGTCTTTTTGTGCTGTATTTTTTATAGTATCATGTCTAGAAAATATGAAGCTATACTTATAACTCTTATCAATTATATTTGTAAGGGTTAAGCTTGAAGATAAATTTTTTAAAAAAAATACGTAGTGGTTAAGCTTGAAAAGGCTTGTTTGAAATAATACTTGGATTTAAGCTTGGAAAGGCTTGTTGAAAGAATACTTGGGTTTTAGCCAAAAGTAGCTTGTAAAGAATACTTTTTGTTTAGTCAGAAATGGTTTGGTAAAGAATACTTGTATCTTGTTGAAGTTAAAAAAAATACGTAGTGGTTAAGCTTGAAAAGGCTTGTTTGAAATAATACTTGGATTTAAGCTTGGAAAGGCTTGTTGAAAGAATACTTGGGTTTTAGCCAAAAGTAGCTTGTAAAGAATACTTTTTGTTTAGTCAGAAATGGTTTGGTAAAGAATACTTGTATCTTGTTGAAGATAGTGAAACTCAATCTGGTTGGATTGAGAACTGGACGTAGTCTCTAGGTTGGAGACGAACTAATATATAAATACTCGTATCATTTCATCTATTTTTACCACTTTTTCAGATTACCTTCCAGTACTTCATCTGTTTGTACTCTTCACTTCCTCACTGCAAAAAACATGAGTTTTTGATATAGACTATTCAACCCCCTTCTAGTGTGTATCTTTCTCTCCAACAAACTCCCTTAAATCATTAACATAGGATGCTCATCTTCTAGCTTAAGATATAGATTGTCTCTTGGACTAATAACAATCCTTGATTGATATTGAATCTTCTTTTAAGTTGTCACAAGGATGTCTTTATAAAACCTGTAGATAATCATATCATTGATCATTAGGAACTAGTTTCATGTTATTTGGACCTCTACATCACAAGTTATTCCCAAAATATAAAAGCAAAATCATGTTTTTATGGACAAATCAATGTTCCATCTTGCAAAGATAATTTTTCCATGATAAAGGTTTTATTTGCCTATACATTTTGCATCAAATTTGTAGAAAATTCTTATATCTTTCCATAGCCACCAAGTTTGGCTAAAACACATATCTACAGCTCTAAATATGCTCAATATACTACATTATGTTTGAATTGCAACTCAAGACGATGTTTTCATCTTGGTTTCCATATTTGTTCATGATGTAGGCTTTTTCAGTGCACGACTTCCTCATAAAGGTGATAGATAATTGTTCTAGCTTTTCATAACAACAAAATTTGTCTCAATATCATATCTACAACTCAAGTTACGTGCAAAATACAACAATCATGTTCTCTAGTCACGACCAGTAATATCTACAGCTTCTTTTGCAATTTTGCACATGTTCTACTCCATATGAACTCTTGGCTTCTTCATGAAGAATGTAGACACTTCTTCAAGATTTTCATAGCCACCAAAATCTCTTCAAATGAATTCTTAGGACTCGTGATATTATATAGCTAAAATTCATAGTTTTTCCTCCTAAAGGCTTATGAAATTTATTTATAAGGTTTTCATACTTAAAACATAAAGGATTTGGACTTAACAAATGCTTCTCAGGCTTGTTCTGTATTTATACTTCTCATATTCATGTTTCTAGGGAGTTGCTCTAAGACAATCTTTCTCAGCTTGGGAATTTTATTCATGGAGTATGGTTGTTAATTCGTGATAGGAATGAGATCCTCTTTGCCTTTAAGGTTCAAGTGGGGCACCTTCCATGGCTCAAGCTTTGGATAAATGCAATATGATCAACATGCATACCTTAGGGGTTATTTACTCGGAGGTGTAATGTGTAACAAGGTATTCATGTGCGTAAACTCCTTAATTATTGCATGGTTAACCCTAATTGGAGAGTTGTCTTTGCTCATTTTTAGTGGAGCTTCTTCTAACACATATTTCAAACCATAACGCCTTTCTCATGAGCTATTGGAAGGATAGAAGCGAGAAATAAAAATCATTTCATTTCTAGGCAACATGAACTCTCCATCCAAATTATGGTTTTTTGGTTAAAGTACCTACACTAGTAGAAAATTAGTGTTTTACGTCACTGTTTTCTCGTCGGTCATAACAAAAACTGACGTAAAAAAGATGTGGTGGCATTTTTGTAATTTTTGTGAACTTTACGTAAAATGTAAAATCTACGTCGGATGTATCTTGTGTCCGACGTAGATTTTACATTTTATGTCAGACCTCTATTATCTCCGACGTAAAAAAGGTTTCTATATACACCCACATTGCAGGCAAAGGTGCAAGAGGCGGAAGGTGTCCCACGCGTGGAGGTCGCACCTGGCGTCGGGGACCTGGAGCTTGAGCTGCGAGCAGGGGAGCAAGCTCCTCGCGCGGCAGTTCCGCGACGACTGCCTATACGTGTGCGACTGGCCCGGGTGCGTCCACAAGGAGGAGAAGCGCAAGTACTGGGTGTTCCGAGGGGTTTTCAAGAACTTCAAGCGCACTAGGGCTTGGGGAACCATTCACGATGGCAACAAGAGGAAGCTTGATTTTCCCTGCGCCATTTGTGCCTGCAAGTTCACCTGGGATCTCCACTCTGCCTTTTGCTTGCGGCGCGGCTTTGGCTTCCACGGCGACGGCGAGCCTGTCATTCAGGCTTACGTTTGTCAAAATGGTCACGTTTCTAGCGCCTGGACCGATGTTCCCATGTACACTTAAATTCCACTACATTCCCTTTTTTTATGTATTTTTCATTTCCTTTTCCTTGTCTACTTTCCATCTTCACTACTACTTGTTCTTTTCTTCATTTTTTTTCAAATATTATTATTTTAAATCTTCTGCACCCTCTCGTTTCTTCTACACGTTTCTTCTGCACCCTCTCGTTTTAAAAATCCTAACTTGCATTAGCTAATTTGTTGATTTTGCATCTGGAACGAACCGTTTTGCAACTAGAACGGCCCGTTCTGCTTGCAGTCATTGTGTGTTAATTGTCCATCTAGAACGGGTCGTTCCAGATGGATAATTAACACACAATGACTACAAGAAGAATGGGCTGTTCTGGTTGTAGAACGGCCCGTTCCAGATGCATTAAATTTGTTCCATCACAATTTTATATCGGTTCTTGGCATGTCTGACATAAATTTACGTCGGCCATCACAACTGACGTAAATTTATGTCTCCCGCATCGACGTCGAAGGTTTTTCCGATGTAAAACCCCTAAAATAACAGACGTAGAATGTACATTCTATACTAGTGCTAGTTGGTTTCAATTGATAATAACTCTATGAAGTTGGGGCAAATTAGAGAATAAACTATTCTTTTCAACAGCCAAGTTTTTGGAAATATATTCAAACGTAAATGCTAGATTGAAGATAGGCTCAAGGGTATTCATAGAGAACTTGACCTCTATTTCTCGGGTTTTCTTGTTGCCTTTGGAAAGTAACTTCAACATTAGTATGATCATATATTATATCAAGAAGAGATGTTGTAGTATTAGAAGTTGAGAGAAAATTGGGCTAAATTTGGTAACAAGAATACCAAATTTTTTCTACCCAATTTATTATATGAAGGTGGGACGATGGTTGTGACACTTGGTTGGTGGGTTCTACCAATTGTGACGGTGGGACAGTGGGTTGAGACGATAAGAACAAGTTTGGGTCGGACGAAAGGATAGGTTACGCAACAAGGATTTGAGGGATGAGTTTTGTGTGATAGAGAAACTAAAATTAGAGTTTCAAAATTAGGATTTGGTGGCAAATGTGTGCCTTAAAAGGGTTTAGGGGAGGAGGACTACTCTCACACAAGAGAATTTCAAATGCGTGCCTAAAAATATGGGAGACTGGATTTCGAGAGAGACTTGGGCGATATTCAAGTTTGAAATTTATCAATTAAGTTTTATGCATGCCTCACTTACTTTAGGATTTTAATTTTAATTTTATATTATTTAAAATCATGAATTAAGCATTAATTTTTCTAACGCAATATATAATTTTTTTAAAATAATTTACTTAATTAAGGTTAGTTATGTTGACAAATAAATATGGTTTTACATTATGTTTTTAGATGAATAGAATTTAAACGTGATTTTTTTTAGACATAATTCATAGGATTTGGGCACATAATAAAAGAAATTACCGTGAATGAGAGAGCATTTAAGACGAGTACTTTGGCAACAACGATAGTGTCTCTTCCTACAATTGTGCAATTTTAGTCTTTTAAATTTTAATTAAATATTTTTAGTCCTTCAAATGTTGCAATTGTGTAATTTTAGTCACTCAAGTATCATAATTATGCAATTTTTGATATATTTAAATTACATATATTATTAATTTTAGTAACATTAAATATATATTTGTACCGTCTTGGTCAGAATTTGATCTGACCCCTCTACATAGGTGTATCGTCTCGGTCAGAATCCGATCTGATCCTCCTACATAGGTGTATCATCTCGATCAAAATCCGATCTGACCCTCTTACATAGGCATTGATCCGATATCAGGGGTAAAATCCTATCTTTAATGACCAAATATTCCCAAATGAAAACCGTCATAAAAATCTCCGCGTTCACGAGGCCCATGAGGCCCATGGACAAGAAAGTATAAGACCTAAAACCCTAGAGTTAGGAAGGCAGAACACACACCTTACTCACTTGAATGCTCTGGCTTGGGAAGGTTGACCTAGGAGAAGAACCCTAGACCCTCCCTTGGCCGGAACATTTTGGCGCCCACCGTGGGGTTACGGAAAAACTTTTCCTACGCCCCAAGGAACAAATCTTGAAAAAGAAGTCAGGAAGTTTAAGATAAATGGCAAGAGGCGTCCCAACCATGACGCTCAACACCCTTCTATGGAGGAGATGATGGCATTGATCAATGGCTTAAGATAAGAGACTACGTGATCCAGGGAGAGGGAGGAGGCCATTCAGCAAGAGAACGAAGAAATCAAATGACGGGCTGATGTGATGCAGGCCATGATAGCAGCCAATATCAGACCGGCAGAGGAAGATGTGATGATGGAAGTCCCAAGGGACTTTAGACCTTTCTCGGAGGCTATAAAGGTCGAGATTATCCTGAGGGACCATCGGGTTCTGCAAGTGGAACCTTTTGATGGAACCCAAGATTCCAGTCAACATTTGATGGATTTCCACGCTCAGATGTTGATCTGTGGAGGGAGGATGGAAATCCGCTGCAAACTATTCATGGGAACCCTTAAAAAGGCGGCTTTAGATTGGTTTAGCGATCTTCTTGACTGATTGATCACCGACTTTGATGTCTTCAGTCGATTATTCATGGCACAATTCGTGGCGAATAAGAGGAAACTGCCGATCATGTCGGATTTGTTCGATCTCAAGCAGCAATGGGAGGAGTCGTTGAAGGACTTTTTACAAAGGTTCAATGAAGTGGCTTTGAGAATAACATCCTTGGACGAGAAGATAGCGGTCATAGCTTTTCAAAAGGGATTGAGGTCGAGTGATTTCGACGTCGCACTAGAAAGAGAAAATTGTCAAATGATGTCGGAAGTAAGAGCTTTTGCCCTGAGTCACATTAAGACGGAGGAAGGGCAAACCGATAAAAGAGCAGAAGAAAGTCGAGAGGTAGTGGTCGGTAATAAGGAGGACAATAAGCATCTCCGGGCATGCTCGGATTGGAGTAAGCGAAGGGATCGTTACAGTGTAAAGGAGGGTAACCACAGACAGGTGGACTATGGAGGTAGGTCAAAAGGCGATTGGGCACGAAACAACGAGCAAGAAAAATTTACTCCACTCAATGTTTCAAGGAGGCAGTTACTCCATGACATCAATAGTGCGTCACTCTTTCAGTTTCTGGTTGCAACCGACCGTCAACTAGGTCCTTTTAAAACTGACTGGTGTGAATTTCACAAAGCTCATGGACACACTACTAAGAGTTGTTTCGTCCTAGGGAGACAAATCGAGCGTTTGATCAAGGAGGGACGTTTAAAAAAGTTCATCGCGAAAAAACATGAGGAAGACCCGTTGGAGATGCGACATAGGCATACGAGAGATGGCGCAAGGAGAGAGAGACCCAAAGAAAGGTCTCCCCGCAGGGACCTTTCGGCAAAGGGGTCAGAAGTCCTCAACAGGCTATTCATGGAGATTTCAAAACTATAATGAGAGGATTTACTAGAAGAGGCACAACGTTCGCAACTTGGAAAAGGTATGCTCGCTCGGTACTAACTGTCTCGGAGATGAGACAACCATCCCGGCCAAGCATCACATTTTCAGATTCCGATTACGAAGGGGTATCTCCCTATGAGGACGACCCCATGGTCATTTATGCAATTGTCATGGGATACAACATAAAGCATGTGTTGGTGGATCAGGGTAGCTTGGCTGACATTATGTTTTGGGAGGCCTTTGTCGGAATGAAAATACTGAACGATTGACTTATGTCGTACGCAGGGACTTTAGTAGGTTTTGCGGCAATCAGGTGATGGCCAGAGGGTATACCAACTTAGAGACCACGTTCGGACAAGGCGCTCACATGAAGACCGTTACTATCCTCTATTTGGTGGTAAATGCTCAGTCATCCTACAACATTCTGATTGGGCGACCCACACTGAATAAGTTGGGTGCCATTGTGTCAATGTCTCATTTGAAGGTGAAGTACCCTTTACCCAATGAAGAGGTTGGTTCCCTTCGAGTAGATCAAAAGGTTGCGAGAAAATGTTACGAAGATAGCCTAAAGGCGAGAAGACACCTGTATGTAACGCATGTTGATCGAGGTGTTCAATCCATCGAGTTAGATTCGAGAGTGATCCATTTCGAATCTTGACCCGCTCCAGTCGAGGATGTAAAGGAGATAAGTTTAATAGAAGGGAAAATTGTTAAAATCAGGGTATCATTAACCAAAGAAGATGAGAAGGAGCTAGTGGTTGTGTTAAAAAATAATATATCGGCCTTTGCATGGAGTGCCAGCGGCATGCCGGGCATAGACCTTGATTTCCTATGTCACTACCTTATGGTAGATCCAAAGGCAAAAGCTGTAATCCAGAAAAGGAAAAAATTTGGAGAAGAAAAAAGGAGAGCTATAACAGAGGAAACAACAAAACTAGTGGCAGCTGGTCACATCCAGGAAATCCAATACCTGACGTGGCTAGCAGATGTGGTGATGGTACGAAAGAACAACGGAAAATAGAGAATCTGCACAAACTTCATCAACTTGAATAAGTCTTGTCCGAAAGATTCGTACCCATTGCCCAACATAGATTGCTTGGTTGATGGCACGTCGGGGTATGAGTTACTAAGTTTTATGGATGCATACTCGGGATATAACCAGATCAGAATGCACCCTGCAAACGAGGATAAAACAACATTCATAGCTGATCAAGCCAATTATTGCTACAAGGTCATGCCCTTTGGACTGAAGAACGCGGGAGCGACATACTAAAGACTTATGGATAAGGTCCTGGCAAGTCAGCTAGGCATGAATGTGGAAGCATACATGGACGATATGGTGGTAAAGTCAGCAAGTGTAGCTCATAATTTTTCCGATCTACAAGAACTATTTGATACAATCAGTCGGTACCAGCTCAAGTTGAACCTAGCCAAGTGCTCGTTCAACATTCAAGCAGGGAAGTTCCTCGATTTCTTGTTAACTCATCGTAGCATTGAAGCAAATCCTGACAAGTGCTCAACGATAATCAATATGAAAAGCCCAGCAACTTTGAAAGAGGTTCAATAATTGGTAGGGAGAATGGCTTCA